CAACCCTGGACTTCCCTGGTATTCTCCCATCCAAGTTCTAATCTAGGGCTGATCCAGCTTAGGTGCTGAGCTTTGATGGGATCAGGTTAGCCTCGGCCTTTATGGCCTGTTGTTGGCCCTCCAGAAGAACTGGCCACTGTGTGAGACAGGATGCTGGACTAGAGGGACCTCTGGTCTGATCCAGCAGGGCTCTTCTGATGTTCTTATGAAGGATTCTCCCATCCAAGTTCTAATCCAGGGCTGATCATGCTTAGGTTCTGAGGTTTGATGGGATCAGGTTAGCCTCGGCCTTTATGGCCTGTTGTTGGCCCTCCAGAAGAACTGGCCACTGTGTGAGACAGGATGCTGGACTAGAGGGACCTCTGGTCTGATCCAGCAGGGCTCTTCTGATGTTCTTATGAAGGCCTCAGCCTCTATGCCCTGTTGTTGAACCTCCAGAGGAACTGGTTGGCCACTGTGTGAGACAGGATGCTGGACGAGATGGACCACTGTTCTGATCCAGCAGGGCTCTTCTTATGTCCTTATTAGGGGAAGGTTTCGGCCTCTATGCCCTGTTGTTGGCCCTCTGGAGGAACTGGTTAGCCACTGTGTGAGACAGGATGCTGAACTAGATGGACCACTGGTCTGATCCAGCAGGGCTCTTCTTATGTTCTTATGAAGGCCTCGACCTCTCTGCCCTGTTGTTGGCCCTCCAGAGGAACTGGTTGGCCACTGTGTGAGACAGGATGTTGGACTAGATGGACCACTGGTCTGATCCAGCAGGGCTCTTCTGATGTTCTTATGAAGGCCTCGGCCTCTCTGCCCTGTTGTTGGCCCTCCAGAGGAACTGGTTGGCCACTGTGTGGGACAGGATGCAGGACTAGATGGACCCTCACTGGTCTGATCCAGCAGGGCTCTTGTGATGCTCTTAGCTTGATCCATCCAGGTCAGCGCAGGAGGAGATTAAAAGCAATGCATTTACCGAGGTGCCTTGCTTTAGATGCCAACCCAGGGCCGAGTCAGTCAATGGAACCTAGAGCAGGCAGAGAAAAGCCTCCGGCAATTTTAAGGGCAAGGCATTCAAGGAGAGCTCACAGGTATGAAAAGTCCCACGTGTCCCTGTTTCCTTCTGTGAAATGGTGCAGAGGTCAGCTACACCTGAAACGAACTCTGGAGAGCGCCGGCCCCATGTACTCTGTTGCTGCAAAAATAAACAGAATCTTGTGGTAACTTGACTGCAGCCCACTTCATCAGATGCGACGAGTCGAACATCCACTCTGTATGCTTTTATTATGGAGGGGTGGAGGGGCGAAGGAGAATGGAGTCAAAGGCCCATGAAATGCAGGACGTCCAGGGTGAAACCTAATTATGTAACGTTCAAATCGGATCAAGAAAAACACAGAGAACGTTCACAAGCTAACACCTGTGTTGGGCTGGAAGTTGTTGTGCTGGGGGAAGATGTTAGCCTGTAAAATGCCACAAGGCTTCTGTTCATTTTTAGCTGAAACACATTTTCACAAATGAAGGGTATTCTTCTCCAAGTCCGTTGGCATCCTTATTTGCACACCAGCCTGAGCATCCATCACAGCACGTCTCCCTCTACTTGTCTTGTCTCAGCTCCATCCCCACAGCTGTCATGTCTGCTCTGCCCCAGAGGTCTTTTTGGGGCTTGGGGGAAAAACCAGTTACTGCTAGATTTTTATACGTTAAAATAATAATTGCATGCTGTCAAGCTGCAGCCGACTTTGATGACCCCTCAAGGAGTTTTCAAGGCAAGAGTCGACCAGAGGTGGTTTGCCATCGCCTGCCTTTGCATAGCAAATCTGAACTTCCTTGGTGGTCTCCCATCCAAATACTAACCAGGGCCGGTCCCTGCTTAGCGTCCAAGCTCTGACACGATTGGACTAATCTTGGCTATTATGCTGCTAGGGGCTGGTACCATTGTAATTATTGTCATAATTTACTAGCTTGTCTCACCTCCCGGTTTTCATTTTTAAAAAGTAAGTCTCCAGCCCCTTTTCATTGTGGAGGAATAAGGGGTGCACCTTTCCCCTTAATCTCCACAATGAAAAGGGCTAGAGACTTAAAAACAACAAGTAAGCTATCACAACTGACTGCAAACCAACACAATCCAATATATCTAGCCATACTTCACTATTAGCACAAATTAAATGTCTCTATCTGCATCCTGCAACCAACATGCCACTCACAAATTACTTCATGCCTAGTTGTAAACAGACTCACTGCTACTGTAAATTTATACCTATGATTTACTACCACAGTATACTTCAACTTTCACATAAGACAACGTATGTCTAGGTGTAATGTGTGTAATGTATGTAAAGTACCTGTCTATGTTTCTTTGCTTGCACTGTTTTCTTGAATGGAATGTACCTTTTGTACTACTTGTTTTGAGCATAAGCAACTGCATAATTGTTAGATGCTGTATTATCTGAAAAACTAATAAAGTTTAAATGATTTTTTAAAAGGAGCAAGTAAGCAAGCCGGGAGTTCAGATGAATTAGCTGATAATGACAATAATTTTAACATTATTGCATTATTTTGTAATTGCTGGGGTTTTATTAAGCCTGAAAAATCTGTCTGGCGGCATGTGGGGAACGGAGGAAACATCTGCACTTGTTGAGGCAAGGGAAATAGGACTGATGTAGGTGGAGCCTTCAGAAATGTACACCAGCCTGTCCATATGGTACACAAAGGCACCTCGACCGAGATCTTGCCAAAATGTTAGTCTCAAACCAGGTTTGGAAAAGGTCACATCAAAGCAGGAGGAAACCCGGGCTATGGACAATTAGGGGACAACCTCATATAGATGCTGAAAAAGCAAAACAAAAAACCCACCAAACCAGAGCTAAAACCTCCACGTGGAAGCAACCGAGTGTGGCTACTTTCAGGGACACAGAGTGCTGGTGCATGAACTCTACATACAAAGGGAGTGCAGGAAGGGTTGCCTCAGTGCTTAGTTCTTGTGGCCCTTTCTTACAGGCCCAGGGAAATGCTGATCGCCACTTTGGGGTCAGGAAGTAATTTTTCTCCTGGCCAGTTTGGCCGGGGATCCTGGAGGTTTTTTGTCATCTTCCTGGCATGGAACAGGGGTCACTGGGGCTGTGGGGGGAGCTATTTGTGAATTTCCTGCATTGTGCAGGGGGTTGGACTAGATGACCCTGGAGGTCCCTTCCAACTGTATGATTCTGTGAAAGGGAGGAAGTGCATTGAGTGCATGGATTGAGTGCATGGATTGAGAGCAAAAACTTAGGCTCTGTAGAAACATGCTTTCCACCCCTATCAAGTCACAACTGACTTCTGGGAACCCCTTTTTCAGTGCAAGAGATGTTCAGAAGTGGTTTGCCCTTGCCTGCCTCTGCATAACAACCCTGGTATTTCCTTGGTGGGCTCCCTTCCAAATACTAACCAAGGCCAATCCTGCTTAGCTTCCAAGATCTGAGGAGACTGGGCTAGTCTGGGCTATCAAGGTCAAGGCAAAGGGTGCATAATTAGCTTCCAGGATCTGAAGAGACTGGGCTAGTCTGGGCTATCAAGGTCAAGGCAAAGAGGGCATAGCTAAGTGGTATTTACATGTCGTACACCTCTGATAAACAGGTCCCCAGCAAATGTAGCAAAACTAAGCAGAACGATCATTATGTTGTCGAAGGCTTTCACGGCCAGAGTTCATTAGTTGTTGTAGATTTTCCAGGCTGTATGGCCGTGGTCTTGGCATTGTAGGACCCGATGTTTTGCCAGCAGCTGTGACTGGCATCCTCAGAGGTATAACGCAGAAAGACGGAGGACTCTCTGTGTCGAGGTGAGAAGAAGAAAAATGGTAGGCAGGTAATTTATATCTACTCAGGAAGGTGGGGTAGGGCTGAGTCATGAATTAGATATAAATTAGTA